CCACAGAGAGGCAGCGGCTTTACAGCACGGGGCCCTGATGCACGTCGGGGCCAAACCCGGCGTGAGCCAAGAGGTAAGATCAGCAGCCTCCCCCCGGCGCCGAGAAGGAACCCGCAAGGTTACGAGGAGCAGCGCCGTACCTGAGAGGAAGCCGAGACACGGGGGAGAGCAGCCTCTCGCTACGGGGTCGGGTTGGCTCGTGTTGCTCGAGGAGGGCTCGGGGCTGCGCAGGGAGGGGACAGGACAGCACAGCTGCGACAGCGGGTCCGTCTGCGGAGCGAGACACTCCAGGGGTTGGCAGCAGCTGGCTCTCCCCTTCCCCTGGGGATTCTCCGTTCCAGTTCCTAGAGCACGAGCACCCCTTGCTTCAGCACCTGCGCTTAAGTTCTTAAATTTGCAGAGTTTTTTTCTTTTATTTTTTTTAAAAAATACCCCCCGTACTTTAATCACGAAAAACCAGTCCCCACCCTAAATCTACTAAAAACATGATTGTCCATAGCTGGAGGCTTACTGAATAACCTCACCCCACCACCATTAAGTTACTCAAGTGTCCAATTAAACAGCAGGCAGCTCAACCCTTAGTTAACACAACTACAAATATTGGATAATGCTCTCTCTTCTCTCCCCCCTCCTCCTCCTCCTCAAGAAAGCTGTTACTTCTTCCTAAGCGCCAGCGCTACTCCAACTGCTACAGCTAATATAGCCACTGCAGCAGCCCCACCGTACAGCAATATAGATTTCCCTTCGGGCAATAAGATAGGCTTCTCCTCTGCAGTGGAGGACTTCTCTTCCATCTCTTCCAAGCGGCCCTCTTTCCCCACTTTTTTTTCCCCTGGAAGCAGTATTTTCTCAGATTCTGGTGCAGCCTTTTCTTCTGACGGCACTAGTTTTGGACCAGGTTTACTTAAGATGGGGATTTCAGGTTCCACAGGCTCTTCGGCCACTCTTCCCTTTTCCTCCTGCTTCGTACGCAGGAGCGCAGAGGGCTGCGCCTTTTCAGCGGCCCCGATTGCAGCTTCAGGCTTTACCTCCTGTGAAGAGGCCGGGGGCTCGGGGAACGCCGCCTGCACGGTCTCCACAGCGGCCGCGGGCACCACCGCTTCCTCGATGCCCTCCGGTATCTCCTCCTTCTCCACGTGAACGATATCGGAGTTGGAAGAGTTGTTCTCGCTCCGTTCTTCGCCCCCTCCATTGCTATCCAGGCTTTTGACTTCTTCAGGATCCATGGCCACCTGCTGCCAGGACTCGGGCCCCAGGGAGACGGGCAGGCTCTCCGTGTGCCAGCTCTGGCTCGCGGACAGCGAGACGGGCAGGCTCTCCGACTGCCACGACGTGGTCACCGTCGGGGACTCCGGGGGGCTCACCTGCCCCGAGTTGTCACTCGTCAGGATGTAGATGTCATTACTGTCCTCCGCGATGATCCCTGGGTACTCCTCCTCTTCGGACTCCAAAGTAAAGACTGTCCCCTGCAAAGGAAGAGGAGGACAGCGCGTGAGCCGCGAGTTCAGCAGTTACGCACCACATACGGGGAGGACAAGGCATCTGGAAACACCAAGTCTGGCAGCAAGATCAGAGGGCCTCTACAGAGCAGGATTTGTCTGACCTACATTTTAGAAGTGCTTACAGAAGCCAGATGGTCCTACTGGGATTTCCAGAGAGCAGGACCACTTAAAAGAGCTTTGCTGTGAGCCCTTCCTTCCCTTGAAGGTACTGCATCACTCAGCACATCACCAAAATGTATCATTAGTAACCAGAAAAGACAACAAGTCCAACCTTAAGTTCAACACAAGAGGCACACGAGCCCAGCTGAATCTCTGTTTTGTGCAAGTGCTCCATACAGTTGGCCATTTTTTTCTGTATGTTAATTTTATTGCATTTTACAGTGTTATCTGAAGTCTGCATTTCTATTTTGCAGCAACAAGCTATAATTTATAGTGATTCCTTGGTAGGAAAATATGCCATGAACACAGGGCCTACAAGTGAGTAGTTTCTAACTTGTGGTGGGCACAGCAGAAGAATTCATAGTGACTTTGCCAGCAGCAAGTGTTTTTCTTCCCCACAGAAAGGCCAGCACTCTGGACTCTCCAGGAACACACAAGTACTTTCTGCAGAGCTACTAGACACGCTGCAGTTCTCCACTTTGCTAGAACAGGGAACGATCTCCAAAAACAAACAAGTAAAAACCCCAGTTGGCAGGCACAGGGGAGAAGTATAAAGTTGGGACTTGAGAGATTTACACAACTTATAGACAGTAACGTGGTAGAGATTATCACTATATCCCTAAACTTTCTGGCAAGGGGTCAGGGGTGGTGGATGGTGTGTGGTCCCTCTAACCATTCCCCCAAACACCCTGATGTTCTGCAAAACTCAATGGACTCACTCCTGGAGACGCTGCAGCGCTGGCTGTAGTGCAGTAGAGCACCAGGAAGATAAGGATTTCATACCTTACTGATATTACAGAGGGGATCTAAATAACATCTTAGACCACTGAATTTGAAAGATGTGTGTGCACTAGAAAAGCATTTTGGAGAACACTTTAAAAGGAACTTTTCTTGGCAAACTGCTTGGATGTCAGAAGCATCACTTGGATCAGTAATAGATTCAGAAACTCTGAAGAGAAAGGATAAACAAAATTTCTCAAGGGGAAGGTTAGAAGTAATCAAGCTGTTCAACTAAACAATTAAAATGCCCACAAAGTCTTGATTCAGAAGGAAATAAAAACTAATACTGCATTCTATTTATGAAAATGTTTAGACATCACACATACGTCAAGTTCTCTCTTACAAGCAGTAACTGAGAATTCAAGACCCCAGTAAGCTCTTTAAAATCTTATTTGGAAAATGAACATTTTTCTAATGCAGCCCGTACCACAGAAGAAAATGGACTTCTATGATCTAGGAAGAAACAAGTGCCCCAAAGTAAGGGCACAGTAAAAGATGACCAAAGAGGAGTAAGTAAGTGAAAATGTTACCGAATCCAAGGAGACCAAGTACAGACAACTGCAAGCCAAACTTCCTCCACAGTGTATAGGACCCGAATTAAAAACATCCACAAGCATCCACCTTTTGTCTTGTTCTGGAATGGGATGAAACTCCTGTTTTCCGAACTGGACACTCAAAATCAGAAGCAGGTCGGTCCCACTAGTTAACTTCAACCGCCTCATGTTGAGCTTGCAGAGTAAGCCGCCTGCCCAGACACTTTGAGATTTTACATTTGCTCCTGTCATCACTAGGATTTTCTCTGGATGTTGATTAAGAAAGAAACGGCCTCACTGTAATATATACTTATATATTACTGTATATACTTACATATAATGTATATACTTATATACACATGTATATATATATACACACTAACAAGGACATACAATCATAGGAAATTCTGTATTTCCACAGGTTTTACAGATTCAGAGGGATTGCCATTAAATGATGAAATTCTTGTAAGATTTGCCATCTCATGAACTTCTGACACTGTCCTCCTCTCCACTCAGTATTACCCTTCAACAAATCATAACCAATTTATTATCATAACTCAGAGCCCATCATGACACAAAAGACTGCATTTGTAACATGATGCTAGTGGAAACTGGCATGGAAAGACACTCCACTTAACTGTGTTCCTGTCTTAACAGTTCTCGTCTTAACATACCTCTGGAAGGGCAATTGCTTAAACACGAAGCATCTGAACAAAACATTCTGAAATCCAGCTATGTTTCTACAGAATTATGAACTCCGATGTTTGCAACAAACTTCTTTCCAATGATACACTAAAAATCAACTGCCACTTTCACACAGATACGCTCCTGGCAGCGCACAGGCCAGGTCAGGGCACAGGCCAAGCGTAGCATGGAAAGCTGCTAGCTGCTTTGGGGAAGGTAAGGGAATGCAGGATGGCCGTAACGGGAATACGGGCAATCCTTGGCATCTTGCAGATTTCACTGAGACTGTACAGACATGAACGTGCCCATTCCTCCTCCTGCGCAGTGAAGGCCTGAAGAGGTTCAAGCATTTCTTTTCCCGAATTGTGAAAAATGAATTGACTCCATCAGAGTTTTGGGGGATTCCCCATGAATCAGAGCCAGCTACAGAGGGATATTTCCCTTCTGTAGCAAGTCCAAACAGGCCAACAACTGCCAGTGTCTCTCGGACAGAATTCTTGAATCATGAAGAGACAGAAGGCCCAAGGCTGAAAAATCTGAGAAACCTAAAATACTGAGTGTCAACCTCTGATTTTATTACATCCTCATCAAAAGTGTTTGATGACATAGCAGGAATTATGTAACATGCAAAATTAACAATTCTTGAGTTGAGCTATTCAGAAAATCAAGAGGACAAAGGTAGGATTTGTGCTGAATGGGTTAGAGGTTGCCTTCTTTTTTATTTTCTTTTAAAAGAGCTGCCATAAAAACTCAGTGACATTTAGGACAATTCTCTCCATCCCTTTACAGATATGACCCAGCAGCAAAGCAAAGCTCCCACAGACAGATAACTCGGGATAGGGCAGACCACCTGGAAGGATCGTTAATAACCAAGGTCTTAGATAAGCCACACTTTGTAGATTTAACTATAAATAAGAAACATATGCACGTTTCTCTGCCTGCTTCACCAGACAACGGAGATCAGAGTTCCCTTTTTTCTAATCTGGGACATGAGACTTGCAACTTGGAAGGGCTTTTCCCCATGGGGAAAACCTATGGAATGACTTTGCATTTGTCTGCAGGAGCAAGCCCTTCCCCACAGCCTCAGGCCTCATTCCAGCCACTGCATTTTGAGGGTGGAGTTGCTACAAATCACGATCAGGGGAACTAGACAGTTCCCCTTCCAGTTAGAGAACCATAAGGATGATCCATGGCACACGGTGCAGTCCTGAAGGGAAGATCAACTTGCTTCTGTGGAGGTGGCACTTGCAGATTTAAAAAGTGGACCTCCACAAGTCAACCATTATCCTCACCCTACGTGGTTTGACTTGTTCCACAAGCCCTCTGCAAGCGACAACCCCTTTAATGCTGTAGCCTCCACAGTTCTTACGTTCATGTCACAGCCCATGCGCATTCATTTGTGCATGGGAATGTGTTTGCCACACACCAAGCTACATTACAAAACTGCAAACTGGTAATAAAATAATGAAAAAAGGCCATGAAAATTGTCACCATAGGCTGAACTCATGAGTTTGGATTCAGCTGTAGTCCTGACAGCATCAGGAATCAGAATTTTGCAGAAAATCCCTCTCTGCTGTGAATTCTGAAAACCACCACGTTTAACATACAGCCAGAAACTGCTGCATACAGAACACATCAATTTTCAACCACATCACAAAGACATTAAGTATAATGTACCAATTTAAGTCTTGGAACCCGACCCTCATGGTGACTCTCTTCCTTTACACAGTTTTCTAATGGGGAGGTTTCTTAATAGTTGTATTGAAACAAAGTGACTTACTAACTGTAGTAGTTATTAGTCAGAAAAAACCCCTCTTAACTCCATAAAAAAGACTTATTTACCACAATCTTAATTTCGGCCTGATTTATCAAAGCTGATGGAAATTGATATTCAAATTAAAATTCAGAATGTCTCAGAGAGATAAATTACTTTTTTTTTCTCTCTAAAAAAATAGTGTTGCGTATGTAATGGAGATGTTATTAGATAAGGAATGGAAAAAAAGAGGTGCACATTAAGTTATCTAACAGAATATTAAGTGCACCTTAGATTAGACTTTTAACACCCAGCCCTATGAACTACTGAAGAACAGATGCCTGCCAAAAGACTTTCTGGTTATTGTGGAAGCCCTAAAACTTTAAGTGTGACAAAGCTTAACGTTTTAAGAATCAGCAATTGAAAAGCTGCCAAATTATGTCTGATTTGACAAGTATCAAACTAGTCCCTCTGCATAATCTTTCCAAATCTTTAAATACGAAGGAAGCAGTTTTACTCGGACCCGCTCTGCACAGTTCCACGGTACAAGACACCCGGTGAGGGGGGCTCTTCACGCGGGTCTGCCTGCACCACAGGAACGCGGCACGTGCGGCGACCGGTGCGAGGGCTCGGGCTGCAGCCACGCACCAAGGAATCCACCAGGTAAATCTCTGCCCACACGTTTCTCTGAGCCCTTAAGCCAAGCTCATGAGCAAAGACAAAGCAGAAGTGCATCTCCCGGCTTCCCACTGAACATTTCTGCACTTTCTCTGCTAAAGCAAGCAGACGACCCTGCCAGCTTGCTCACCTGCTCAATGATGCCCAGGTAGCTTACTCTAGGGCCAGCCTTTAGCTAGCAATTAATGTTTGATCTAAAACAAAGATAAAGGTCTAATAACAATCTTCCAAAACAAATACTCTCCAGTTGAAAGTGTTTTGAAAAGCCTGACTGGTTTCTCTAAACCAGTTCTTAATGAAATTTAAACACACAAGTGACAGCTCACTTTCTGCTCACACTGCTACTGAAGTGCAACAATGACCCCATGAAGAAAGTC